TAGCAATCGCAGCAGCAATTCTTTTATCTTAATCTGAAAATTAAATATGATTTGGTGGAGTTGCACGGTGTTGAAATTGGGCAAAAAAGTAGTGTTGGTGCGCCCAGACGCTAGTGCGAACAGACTTTTGAGTTAGTACTGTATAACTCTCTAGTATCCAAGTACCTTCCACATGTCATGTTCCTGTCAAATCACAACAAACGTAACCATCCAAGTATAATTTCACCTCCAAAAAAGCAACAAAAGAAGAAGAAGAAGAAGAAAGAAAAAAAACCCACTCTCTGCTTGTTTCTCACTCGATCATGAAATTTAGTAACTTTACATATATTCCTTAACAAAAAAAAACAAAACAGCCCTTCTACCTGTACACATAGCGACAAGAACAGCTCGTCATTCAAATTTTTTAAAAAGTGGTTTTTTTTAAATTGCCAGCCCCCCCCCCCCCCCCAAACTCATATAGGCTTACCTTATCAACCATTTATCAAGAAACAGATGAAAGAAAAGAAGAAAACAACGCCGAATCCAGTGCTATCCCAAAGAAAAGAAAAGAAAGAAAGAAACCAGTCTCTGGTTTCCCCCCCACTGTTATTCTCGGTTGTCCCCCCCTACCTCTCTCTCTCTCTCTCTCTGCGTCCCGATATACATAATCGCCTGGTCTTTGAAAAAAACGCAATAATTTTTCCCTTTCTGTTGAACAAGAAGAAAAAAAAGTAAAAAAAAAGGTAATGGTATATATAATACAAAATCTAAGCCAAGCCCCGTCCATACGCCCGCGATGCAACGGTTGCTCTCTCTCTCTCTCTCTCTCTCTCTCTCTCTCCCCTCTATATCCCGCTTTCATCCCAAAATAGCATGACTTATGTTGGTGGTTGCTGCTGCTGCTGCTGCTGAGCCTGTTGCTGCGCAAGCTGCAAGCTCTGTTGCATAACCCCTGGCCCCCAACTCTGATGCAAGCCTGCACTATTCGGCGGTTGTTGTTGTTGCTGTTGTTGAAGTTGCTGTGGACCGGGATTCGAAGCGACGCGTTGTGGGCCCGGGGATTGTTTCATCTGGGCTGACTGGCCCTTCCAACCGGGGAATAGTTCTTGGAGCTTGGTGTAGAGCTTGGCGAGGTCTGCATGCGAAGGGGGAACAGACATGATGGCAGGTCCCGGTTGCATTTGTTGGCCTGGTTTGGGCACTTTTTCGGCGTTTTGGGCGAGGTAGGCTAGGTTGGCTTGTAGGCGTCGCATGTAGCTGTGTAGGTAGGTTTCGTTAGCTTGGTTTTGCGGCCAGACGGGACTATGGCGACGCGAAAAATGAGTAATGACAACAACGGGGGGGAAAAATACATACTCTACGTACTCCTTGGACGGCTGCGCTTTCTCGCCCTCGGGCTTACCCTCAGGCGTGGGTCCTACATGACCCGCCTTGCCCTGTGCCTGCAGATCGCACACCTCCTTGATGAGGATGCTGTTGATCTCGAGGAGCGTCGCGACGCGGTCCTGACTACGCGCCGGATTGCTGGGCGACATGGGCGACGGGGGCACTGCCTTGACGGGCGTCTGCAGCTGAAGCGGCTCCGACTTGATGGGTAGCTGGAGATTCATGGGTGTCTGGTGGCCGTTTGTAGGCAAGGTGCCGGGCGAGGGCTGGGGCTGGGGGGTCGCAAAGGGCGGCTGTCCGGTGACGCTTGCGGGCGAGGCAGTCTGGCGGTTCTGCGCAAACTGTTGCTGGTGAGCAGGCGAGGGCATGGGCTGCGCAAAGGGTGCGCTCGAGTATGGGCTAGGCGACGACAGCTGGTGTTGTTGCTGTTGCTGCTGCTGTGGTTGCGGTTGGAGGGCAGCTGCGGCATGGTGTCAGACCAAAGGCGAAAAGGCAGATCGCGCACAATCAACCAATCTACACTGGCTTACCTCGCTGCTGGAGATATGGGGCTCCAGACGGCATGACACTATTTCCCATGGCGCCACCCATGCCGGCGAACGGGGCGTGCTGGGCATACTGGCCTGGAGCGTTTGGTTGCTGCTGGAGGCGCGCCTGTGGATCAAACTGGGCGTGTTGCGGGGAATTGGCAAACTGGCCGCCGTACGCATTAGGGTTATTGAAATCCATCTCCGGCACTCATTGGCCACGTCGCACAGCTCGGATTAGATTGATCGGTGGGTTGATGGGAAGAAAGTGCGGTTCGTGATAAGGTTAGGATTCGGCTCTAGAAGCCTTCGAAGCCAGCCCTTGGGCCAGCCGAGCGGGTCAGGCCCGACATCAAAGCGTTGCCTCGAGCCGCCTCCCTCGAGGCGCGCGCGCAAGAAACAGCACCCGTAAAAGCACTCGAGAAGGAGACCACAGAGAACGCTTCCCCTTCACCCCTCCGGTCCCAGTATGCGACCGTCAGGATCAGCAATGCAAGCACGCCATGACGCAGCGCCACGAGCATCCTCAGACTCTGACACCCCTGTCCACAAGGCCCACAAAAATGTTTGACATGTCGTCCGAAATGCGACGAGACGCGTCCAGAACAGTCACCAGGTATGGCCGGCTGCAGTTAGCACCGGGTCCTATCCGTTATTAGATCTGTCCATATTAACTCCTGCTTGCCATCCATGTGCCTGTTCCCTGGGACCAGGAACGGGACACGGCTCCGACATGGAAAGCCAGATCCGCGCTGACCCTGACCGAGTAATCATTGCATCACTTGTATCACATACTCGGGCTTCTTGGTGGCAGACTTGATCTTGCATTCACTCAGCCTGAGTCCAGCGCCAGTTTTATGGTTCCTGGCCAACCCTGGCGCATCACACATCCTGTAGACAAGAGAGTGTCTCTGATAAACCTGGAGCCGACCTTCCCCACACTTCATACAGCGCCTATCATACACCCATGTGGCCGATGAACTTTGGTATGTGACGCTTTCGGACCGAAGGTATGGATATACATAGTATCGCTGGAACAGACAAGCACCGTCCAAGTCATCATTCGCCGAAGACGTCCTCTTTGGTCGGTGTCTCTTTGCGACGCAGTGCCACAAAGTACGCCTCTCTGGATTCCTGCAGCTGTCAGCATTGAACACAAAGATCTCAAGGTTGCATACAGCCCGTGACGACTCGGGCTTTTCCCGATGTACTTTGGTAAAGAGACGCTTAAGTTTCATCTCAAAAGCCTTCTCCTCGGCCCCTTTGTAGTACTTGCAGAGAAAGTGGCCGTTAGTCTTTAATGTGTCAAAGGCAAACATCAGAGCTGCCATGCACAGATCCTGCCCCAGTCAATAGTCTATTTGCAGCTCAGAGGAGCACTACTGACCATGCTGCCCGTGTGGTCTCTGAAAGCGTTGCCGCTCGTGTTCATCATCCTAATATAAGGGTCACTAAGGCTCTTTTTGTAGAAGCCGGTAGTTTGGTCCCAGGGTTCTGACATATCACTGAGTACCACATCTACTGTTCTTCCCCGCTGTGTATCGCGCTCTTGGAGCGACAGATTGGTCGAGATTGGGTTGTCGCCATCCGAGTCCTCGAGTGGCCGTCCAATCGCTTCAGGGTCTGCACCATCCAAATGTGCCTGACGTTCGATCTCAATGTAACCCCGCTGCATTTCATCTAGCTCTTCCTCAGTGAGTCCTTCGCTTGTGCTCGAAGAAACCTGTCTCCTAGGCCGACCAAGATCTGTATCTCGAACATATGCTCGCACTTGGTCTTGAATAATAGGTGATAGGAAATCGCCTTGAATAGTTGAAACACCTCGAGGAGGCTGGGCGGGTATGAGATCGATGCCAATGACTCGCCCGTCTGGAGATGTGCGATTCACGGCGACCTGATCAGCGTGAGATGATGCTAAAAGAAAGAAACTCCATTAACAAACCTGAGACCACGACCCTGGTGCATATCCCTGGTGACGTTAACTTTCAATCATCAATGCAAAGGGCAGACCTACCAAGTCAACAACTGTTTGCCCAGGTTTAAATAGCTTGTGTTTGTCGTTGAGCTGTGATATGTTAGTCACTGCCCAGTCTTTGCCGTGATGCGCTCCCACCTCAAGCAGCTTGAAGGCAGCACGGCTCTTCAGGCCTTGAACTCGTGCTTCCTTGGCAAAAAAGTCCCTGCCCTGTCGCGACTTCCATCTGGTTGAGGACGAGGACGAGTGACGTATTGATTGTGCAAAAATATGAGTACGAGAGCTACATGTTGAACACGCCGAAGCAAAACACACGGTGGCTTCTGGATAAACACGAGAACCCAATAGTAAGCTATCAGTAATTTGCCGAAAGAGGCGGCGCGATAACATTGTAAAGACGCAGAGGAAGAATTTCACATCTCGCTCTTTGCGGGCAAGATAATCTCATATGGCTACTACTTATCGATAACAGGCATGGTACCTCGACAGTCTCAACATCACACAGCACACCAGCTCCAGATCGATTCGCATTCATCAGGATACGATTAGTAGAGGCCGTACGATTGAATACAACTAAACACTTTGTCTAGAATCTATCTTGGTCCCTCTAAGCACAGCCGGGATTTGTGGCTGCGCCGCTCGCATCCAACCACCCGAGATATTATCGCATCCTCCAGGTCGACCTCGGGATATTCAAGCCATGACGGAATTCCTTCCACGGCCGATGCGTGTACTACCCCGCTATCTCCTGTGTTCTCCACACCAGACTTTCCCAGCTTGGTCTTGGGTCGTGTGGCCCTTGGAGCAAAAGCCTTGATACGCCGTCATAGTAGTCATACCGGAGTACTAGTAGGAGCGTTCCGGGCACAGGGTAAACCACCACTACTACCTGTTCAGCATCATAAGGATCAACGGAGGCTCACATTGCCGGGCAGGCACAGCAAAAGGACACGAGACAGGACGCGTGCAAACGACCATATGTGGCTTCAATGGCGGCTGACTGAAAGGGGTGATGTGGTGCCCAGCTGACTGCGACGCCCTAGTAAGGGGTGGTGAGGCGAAAGGCCGGATTCTTCTAGAATGCCCTTGTGTCCTCCCCTGGCTAGCCTACGATGGGAGCGTGTGTGTGGTTTCCACGTCCCAAGACTGTGCGACATGATGCAATTTGATGCCATCCGAGTCCGATTGACTCGGTGAAAGGCATGCGCTGCACCTGTAGCTTGTTGGCAGCGGAACACGGCAAACATGTTGCGACCAGAAAAGGACAAGAGATGTCAGTCTGAGCCAAGTATGACATCGCGAAGTACCGGACGGGGCTGTCAGCGAGTACCGTGGTCGTTTATAAAGGCGTTGCGGACAACATTCGTTGGCTCGCGGCGCGCTAGACTAAAATCTGCCTCGTCCTCCCGCTGTCCTCAAATCTCCACATCCAGCCCATTCAAACACCGCAACCTCATTTGCGCCCCAGGACCCATGAGACACGCGCACCCCGGAGTGCAAACAGTCACCGTCTAACTGCCTTGCATGGAAGATCGGATTCACCGCGAATTGACCGTACCCGCCCGCCTCACTGCGAGAAAACCGTCTACATCTCCGAAACAGTCACCTCCGATGACCTCGAAATCACGTCGCGCGGCCTTTTCTTTGCTTCGATAGAATCCTGCCTTTACTCCGGCAGCACCAGACTCGCTCCGCCTACCACCAGTGCAATACTCCGACCAGCCTAGACTTACACCATGTCCAAATCCACGGAAAAGCCGCAACCACAGGGGGCCGCCATCATGAGCGATGAGCCAGGAAACGGCATAAAAGTATGTACCAGCGCAGTCCGTACCCTCAACACTTTAATTGACACGTACATGCAGCCTCTCGGCACGCCCGACATCACAAGCCTACAGCGCATTCGACAGGTCTTTGCGCAGCCGGTCCTAGCCTCGTTTGTTGCAGGCGGCGTGGCTGGCGCAGTCTCCCGGACCGTCGTCTCCCCCCTCGAACGCCTCAAGATCCTGTTCCAAGTCCAGAGTGTCGGTCGCGAGGAATACAAAATGTCAGTGCCCAAGGCTCTGGCCAAGATGTGGAGGGAAGAGGGCTGGAGGGGCTTCATGGCCGGAAATGGCACAAACTGCATACGCATTGTTCCATACTCTGCTGTGCAATTCAGTGCATACAACGTCTACAAACGGGTAAGTGAATCCTTGGAATTTCTGCTATTTGCTTTGTTTTCCGGCGAGCGACTTGCTTTTTGAACTGGTGGAATGAGGGGATCAGACGCACATGGAATGGAGACTGGGTAGGTTAAGTTGGCGGAGGGCTGACGTAGGTATCGTGGCTGACGAAGAGGAGGAGAGAATTGGGAAAGTCGCACAAGGACAATGAACACTGGCGCAACCTCCCTAATTGCGACAGCTGACCTGTACTAGTTCTTTGAGAGTGAGCCGGGTGCACCGCTCGATGCTTACCAACGATTACTCTGTGGAGGTCTTGCCGGTATCACCTCTGTTACCTTTACGTATCCGCTCGATATCGTCCGCACGCGGTTGTCGATTCAGTCTGCATCCTTCTCAAGCCTCAAGAAAGAGGCCGGCCAGAAACTACCGGGTATGTGGGCACTCCTCGTGAACATGTACAAAACCGAGGGCGGAATGCCAGCGCTATATCGCGGCATCATCCCTACGGTAGCTGGCGTTGCACCATACGTTGGCCTCAACTTCATGGTTTATGAAATGGCCCGTACTCAGTTCACACGCGATGGCGAGAAAGACCCCGGTGCGTTCGGCAAGCTGGCAGCCGGTGCAGTTTCTGGTGCTGTCGCGCAAACCATTACATACCCGTTCGACGTCCTGCGACGAAGATTCCAGATCAATACTATGAGCGGCATGGGATACCAGTACGCAGGTGTTGGTGATGCTGTCAAGCAGATTATCAAGACAGAAGGTCTCAGGGGCATGTATAAGGGCATTGTCCCTAATCTGCTCAAGGTTGCGCCCAGCATGGCGAGCAGCTGGCTCAGCTTCGAAATGACTCGAGATTTGCTCATGGGCAAATGGAACTCGGGCTTTTTGTAAGAACACACGATTCTAAGCATCAACATGATGCAAGCGTCGCATTGCGAAGCACCCCTCCGGATAGACGGTTATACATTGACGACCAAACGAACAACCACCCACCTTTGGGAATGAAGATAAGCAGAACCGATTACGAATATTCTGGAAACTACCAAAAAAGAAAATCAGCATTGCATTGGGACCAGCGCGGCTTGGAGATTTGATTCAGGGAAATCTTTTAACACCCCCTCCCTCGATGGATATATAGCGACGGCGTTTTTTTTTGAACTGGAATCGTTTACAAACTGCACCTTGTACCTACTTTTTTTCTTCTATCTTCGAACTTGTTTTGAAGTCCTCCCCCCTTTAATTTCTCTCTACCCAAAAAAAATGGACAGCACTTCAAGGAGGGGAGGGCTATGGGTTACGTTACACATAGACGCATCTCGAGCCCCGACTGATTATGGGACCGAAATGGCATACTACCTGTACAACAAATGACAGCCTCGAGTGTGCGTTAGGAATACGCTTGCGAATAGAAGAAATCCAATGTATTATGCACGATTAAAGACAGTAGTTTCTTTGATTTGGTATTGACTTGCTGTGTGAGCAGACATTAAATGTACTACTTGTGCAAGCCATTGTCAAGCCCATTACGTCAAGCGTGCCAAGGCCGAGGGGAATATCAAGGTACAAGTATCATCACTCAATTGGAACCAAGTAACACATGCGTGCTATTGAACGATTTGAAATAGTCTACACGAAGTAGCTGGAAATATCAGCCACCCCAAGACTGTTGCTTGAAATTTGCGAGAAAGAAAGATGGTGCATTATTTACATTTTCTCTTTTCCTCTTTTTTTTTACAAAGCACCGTCCTTCCTCAGAGTCTCATTGCCCCATGGCTCGCTGGTCAGGCAGGTCAAGCCACCGGCGGGCTCGCACGACTGTCGTCCGCTCAATGGACCTGGCGATGGCAGCTCACCGGACTGAGCACCTGTCGCTTGGGCGGAGTGCTTCAGGGCCTTGAGGAGCTTGACAGTCGAGTCGTATGTAAGGTCCTCATAGTAGTCGTCGTTGATCTGAACCATGGGGGCATTCGCACATGCACCAAGGCATTCCACCTCTGTAAATGTGAAGAGGCCGTCTGGGGTAGTCTCGCCGTGGTGGACACCCAATGTGTCTTCGCAAGCCTTCATGACGGCATCACTGTCACAGAGCATACAGGGAGTCTAAAATGATACATCAATGCCCATGTTCTCAATTGTCCATGTTCCCCAATTGCCCAGGAAAACTCACAGTTGTGCAGACCTGGACGTGGTACTTGCCCACGGGATCCCGGTTGTACATTGTATAGAAAGTGGCAACTTCGTATACACGCATGGGCGGCATTTCGAGTATCCGCGCAACCTCATTCATGACGCTGATGCTGCAGAATCCGTGCTGGCGCTGACCGAGGTCGAGAAGCGGCATGACGGCTGCCTTCTTGTATTGCGAGGGGTACCGCGAGACGATTTCCTTGATGAGCTCCTCATTTTGCGCCGTGAATTTGAAGGGAATCTTGGGGTTGTTCTCTGGCGTGTCGCGGTGCTACAAAAGACGCAATTAGCCCCTTCCCCGTCTTGTCTGTGAGCGCTGGCGGTTGCGGGCAAAAAGTACATACGACGTTGAGCGAGCCGCTCTCATTCCACGCGGGGCGCGAGACGCTGAAGGCCCGCCATTGAGCCCTCTGGAACGGTCGCGAAGCGCGTGGGGCAATTCGGCAGGCAAAGGGTACCAGTCTTGAGGCCATGGTGGGTTGTGACTGCGGGCGGGAGGCGATGGCGTCGATTGAAGTCGTCAACGATGAAGCTCGTCGAGAGTGCCAAGCCGTGCAGGGATTATTGCAATCAACCCGCTCTGATTGGCTGCCTCTGGAGTCTCCACCAAGTACCAGCCCGAACGAGCATCTGTCTCTGTCATCGCCAACTTCTTTGCCAGTATCGGCTTCATGTTTTCCTGATGCCCGACGTTTTTGCTCGATCGCGTGTTCCCCGGGTCTCCACGACTCTAAAGGCCGTGCTGCTCGATTCACACTGCTCGCTGCCCTTGTTGTGGCGAGGCATGCATCCCCACTACGGCTGAGCCCGCCACGTAGCAAGCTCCACCGACACTGTCGCTTCTGACCATGCTGCTCATGCTCACCACACAGTCGGATGCTTCATTTTTCTTAGGTCAGGCTGCCCTCACAGGCTGCGGGGCCATGGCTTTGCTGGCAGTTTCCGATGCTATGACTGTTTTGGGCCGGGGACGGTTCATTGCCTAGCACGAGCGAGACCAATGAATTGTGCCTCTGGCGGTCTACCACGTCTGATGCCCAGTGGGTCTGCCACTACAAACGCTGGGTGCGCCTTGCGAGCCTGCAGCGTCCTCAGGATACATTCGGTGGGCAAAGCAACGCACAGTAAAATGCCTCTGAATCCGTCACCGGTGGAACGATGCTGCAGCCCATAGCCAATCGGCCGCTGTTCGCCTCACCCGCGGCGCTGTGCGCGGACATGCTAGCCGTTTGATGTGTTGTACGCATGTTTGTAAGTAGTGTCCGATTTGGCGTCTTCGAGCCTGCAGGATTTCTATGCGACTTTCTCGAGGCGTGTTTCAGAGTCATTGTGCTACTACGTGTACAAGGCCATCGCTCTTACCGCACTTCACTAGCAGACCCATGGCGGTCAACATCTTGCATGTATAAGTACCGTTCGTCGATGATTCGCAGGCCCTCCAGTTCCTGTCTTCTCACTCTCCACTGCATCTACTTAACGGCGCTCTTATAGCACCGCACTTGCACATTAATAATCCCACCTTGTACACATTTGCCCGCCCACCCCCCATCCCCATTCCTATATACACCGAGCATGTGCAGGTTCACAATCGCTACGCTCGAATGCGGGCACCCGCAAGAGGACCACGTCGACACATACGGATGCCCATACTTCCAAAGAAGCAATCTCCACTGTGACCGCGACAACCCGAACAACAAAGACCGATTCACTATCAAGACCTGGGACCGTGAAGGCATATGCAACCGATGTCTCAGCGTAGCTCGCAAGAGGGAGGAAGAGGCGATAGAGCGTGAACAAAAGAAATACGACGAGCAGCGTCGCCGAGAAGCCAAGGAGCGGGAGGAAGAGTTGCGCCGTGGAGAACGAGAGGTCCTTGAAAGGGGACATCGACAAGAAGAGGAGCGACTTGCTGAGAAGAAACGCCGCGAAGAGGCTCAAAGGGCACACGAGAGGCAAAAATGGGCATCCGAGGAACGTACTAGGGAAGTGGAAAGGAAAAGTAAAGAAGAGTATGAGCGACAGATCCAACTGCAAATGGACAAAGACATGGAGTACATGATGGCAAAGTCACGAGAAGAGGCTGAACGGAGAGAACGGGAAGAAGAGGAGGAAATACAGCGAGCTCTGGCTGAATCTGCTAGACTAGTACGCTCGGAGAGGAGTTATCAAGAGGATCAGGTAAGTGAAGAATTTGCACTTCAAACTACGCCTCGCTTATATGACAAGTGTTTTAAATATTTTACTAACATGCCGCTTTTTCTATAGATGTCATCAGGATCACGAGAACAAAGTGGTGGCCGTATCGAGTCCTGGATTGAAAGCACATCACGGACTACCACAACCACAACCGTAAACAACCACAGCAGCGGCAACAACCACAGCAGTAGCTACAATAACAGCCACAACAGCAGCAGCAGCAGCAACCACAACCACAACAACTCAAACTACCCTCAAAAGTCATCCTCGCCTCCCTCACCACCCGCCACTCCTCCCACCAGAAAGGCCACCTCACCGCCACCACCACCACCTCTCCCCGTCACCGCTCCCCGATCCCCAGTCAACAAACCTGCCGCTCGCGCCCCACCACCACCGCCTCCAGCCCCCAAGCCAGCGGCCCCAGCCAAAGAAATCAACTACTCGCTCCCCGCCGTCGGCGACCAAAAAATCGGTCGTTTCCGCCTGGGAAGCCGAGCCGTCCCCGTCCACGAATCCCAGGACATCCCCGAGACGCCCATCACCCCCGCGAAGCCCATCGCCCCAACCACACCGGCCCCCATGGTCCGCCTCGGTGGCGCTATCCCCGTCTCCGACGTGCCCATCGTACGTGAAATCAAGGGCCAGGTCAAGCCCGTTCCCAGTGCTATGGAGAACGCCAGGCCGGCGCTCCCGCTCAGGAAGCCAAGTGTGTCGCGCAAGGGACCGCCTCCTCCAGTTCCCAACCGTGATGGCAGGGACCCGCAGCTCGAGGCTATGCTGGCCAAACGACGGGCGTGGGAGCCTGAAGAGGATGAGGGTGCGACGATTACCCCGCCCAGGTCTCCTTCCAAGGGCCACACGCCTCCGGCTAGGAGGTTGACTCAGAATGAGTTTGATACCAAGCGCAAGATGGGCTGGAAGAACAACGAGGATGAGTAAGGGAGAAGGAGACATTTAGCGTATAATCTTTTTTGTATATGTATTTACTTTTCTTTTCTTTTTTCCAAAGGATCAATCAAGGGATATTTGATTTCATTTGTGGTATACATCGCTTAGCACCTCTACTTTGACTTTTGCCAACATCTGAGATATACTCTACTCTGGTAATGTGATCTATCAATAATGTTGTATGTGAGTATGTTTCAAAAGTGAATCATCGCTGTCCACCTTACGTATTGCGGAATAACACTAAGTGACGTAGTACTCTCGCTTTAGGAACTCATAGATGTAATCGAACTCATTGTAGCCACTAGTGGACGTATCTGCGTTTGAGAGCTGCTCTCCACACTCACCGATACTCTGACACTATCTACATGTTAGCATGGAGCCGATATGAGTGTTGCAACGTGAACAACACATGACAAGCAAGGCTTACCATGTCAGGATCGTACTTGGCGTATTCGAAAAAGGCATTGACCTTGTTGATGTAATCAGGAGTGTTGAGATTGACCTCCTGATTGCGAACTTCGTCACAGCCGTGTCTACCACTTTTAGCGCACATCCCGATGAACTCGAGTAAGAACTTACGCTACAACTCTTGCCTCAATACCCTCCTCCTTGACAACATCCATGACGAGCTTGGCAGATATGATACGGTCGGCATGTTCGAGTTGATAGTCGTCTTGGCCAGTCGAGAGAGACGCCAGGTAATTCAGGACGTGGATTTCGTCTGCACGCCTCTCACGAAGGATGGCGGCGATGATCTCTTTTAAATCTCTGATAGTATACGTAGCAGCTCCGTCGGTGGCAGCGATGTGAGAAATGACTGCGCTGTATAGCATTTTCAACGACTGCTCTCGGTAGGCACTATATCCCTGACCGTAATACGTGCTGTCTGGTAGACGAAGAAAGAGGATTTGGACATTGGATAGACCCAGAAGAGGCGAAGCAGCGATATTGTGTTTGCCGAGTCGAATCGTCGTGTTGTTGCGAACTGTATTGTCCAGGTTAGTATCAGTCAGGAAATCAGTCTCTGAGGTGATTTACCTGCGGGTGTTCCTTCCAACTTATCCACACCACTGCCCCCTCCTCCCCTCAACGACGCGCTAGACATAATCTCATATGACCTTCCTAATCCATACTCCAGCTCTTCCCTCCTCGTATCATTCCTCGCCTCACCTCCCGTATCCGCATTGAACGCGACCGTAGTAACGCACTTGAATACGAACAGATCATGAAGGACGTCCGGGTTTTGGAAGAGTAGGCTGTCGACGGTGTGGGCGGTGAAGTATATAGAGCCGCTGTTTGCTGTTAGTAAAAAGATGTTGGAGGATGGGTAGGGAAAATGTACCCAGTACATGGGAAAGGCGACGGAGTGGATGAGGCGAGGCATAGGGTCATTAGGAGGGTGAGGAAGAGAGAGTAGTAGTGGCGGAAGAACATGGTGGCGGGTTGGATCGAGCGTCAAGCAGAGAATGGAAGTGCAAGGAGAGGAAGGATCGAGGAAAACAGTGAGAGAGGTTGAGAAGGCAAGGTTTGCAAATGTGTTGTGGAATATTTGTTCGAAGCAGTAACGACGCTTTGCTTGGGAAGGCACACACTGGAAGCCATCAATCCTACCTGCAACCTCACACTGCCATAACATACAGTAACATAAACATAGCATATCAACGACGAAGCAATTGACTGCACAAAGATGTACCTGACGCTTGTGGATGAAACTGATCGTTCCTTGACTTCAATTCCCGGGCTTGTAGAGAGATAACAATATCAAGAATCTAACAAATACAAACAAAGTGTTATTCATCCTCAGGTATATCAATGCTATATAAGTCTACAAAGTGTCGTGACTTCATTACCATCAAGCGGACGCAAAACATAAAAGAATCGTCAAAAAACATCATCATAGACATACCGAAAGCCCATCATAACAGTCATTAAAATGAAAAATCTGGTATCCAAAGAAAGGTATTAAGACGTGAAACCAACAAAACACTATCGGAATATCGAAGCCAAAACGCTCTCCAAAGTATCAGCCAGCGGATCCTCAGGCCTCTTCCGCCCATTCTCGTCGAAGCGTGGTGGCAGCTCAATTGTCTCATCAGATGCATCGGATCCAGGAGATTCGTCTCGGTGGTGTCTCTTACGACTCCTGCCAGATTCCCTCGAACTTTGTGAGTTATCATCGTCTCGATGTCGCCTCCGTCTTCTGTGCCCACGATGTTCCTGGTCGCTGTCGTCACCCTCAGGAGAAGGCTCTCGAGAAGGTTCCCGAGCGGGCTCCTCCTGCGGCTCTAGATTGAACTTGACACTCTTCTCTTCTTCTGGGGGTGGTGGA